TCTAGAAGGATATGATCTCTGAAGTCTCTTTGGATCTTAAAGATTGAGTATTAAGAAGAGAACAACTTCTTAGTGGGACTGGATGCACCTCATCTTTATTTCTCATGATCTTTCCCTCTTAGTTCTTCCAGCTTGAAGTGTACAATAGCGATGGGACCCCTCTCACCGTGGACCAGCTACATTGGCAGCTCCAGAGAATTCGTGCCCAGTCTTGGAAGACGGATAAGGAGCCCTTGGGCGTTCTGACCAGCGATCATAGACACACATGGGGACAGGCCTATACCACTCTCATGCGAGGTACATCTCCATCAAAGGGATGGAAGGAAAACAGGATTATCTGTCATGTCACAGTGGTGTGCTCCTAATTCAAAATTCCTTAGTGTCTCCATATGCAGGTGTAACATGTAACCCTGATTTATTGCCATTGTTGTTATTTGTCATGATTGTGTGCTTCTTCTGAAAGCCATTCATTCATTCTCTTTACTGGTGGTTTGATGTATCAATGCAAAGTCCTAGAATGTATCCCCTATGGATATGGGGGGGGGGGGTCATGCTATATCACTTTACAATGGCCAGCTCACATTTTGGTGTCTCAAATGTTAGCACTGTTTCTGGTCTGTTCTAGACAAGCTGAACCGGGAGTCTGCGCGTGCCATTCAGCGCAGCCTCTTTACTGTTTGCCTGGATGCCCCGGTCTTGAAAGTGTCGGACGCTCGGGCTTCAAGTCGACTGGCGGCACAGATGTTACATGGTGGCGGGAGCTACTCCAACAGTGGCAATCGCTGGTTTGACAAGACCCTGCAGGTGAGAACATCAGGGTGAAAGCAAGGATGATACCTTTTAGCAGTAAATGGCCCAATCTCTATATTTAGATATGGGAGCAGTTAGATCAGGCACGGGCAAACTTTGGCCCTCCAGGTGTTTTGGTCTTCAACTCTCACAATTCCTTACTTAGGCCGAGAATGATGGTCCTCCAAGTCTGGTGTCTTGGCGGTGGGTTCGAAGGTGGCTGTGGAGCCCTATTCTCAATCCGCCTGTTCTCCTGCAGTGAGGACACTGGTTTCCAGGTGGAAGGCAATCCCTGTCAGGGTTGGCTTGGTGCGCCTTCCTCTTGACACGTTTCTCCCTTTTGCCCTTCATTCATAACTCTTTGAATTCTGCAGCACTGCTGGTCACAGCTGACCTCCAGCTAGAGCACTCAAGGGCCAGGGCTTCCCAGTTCTCGGTGTCTATGCCACAGTTTTTGAGGTTGGCTTTAAGCCCATCCTTAAATCACTTTTCCTGTCCACCAACGTTATGTTTCTCATTCTTGAGATGGGAGTATAGTAACTGCTTTGGGAGACAGTGATCGGGCATTCGGACATGTCCAGTCCAGCGGATTTGATGGGTAGGAGCATTACTTCAGTGCTGGTGGTCTTTGCTTCTTCCAGCATGCTGACATTTGTCTACCTGTCTTCCCAAGAGATTTGCAGGATTTTTTGAAGGCAACGCTGATGGAATCGTTCCAGGAGTTGAGTGTGAGATCTGTAGACAGTCCACTTTTCACAGGCATATAGCAGGGTTGGGAGGACAATAGCTTTATCAGCAGGCATCTTGGTATCCCTACGAATGTCCCAACTATATAGTAGGAATTGTGGGAATTGTGTTAGGAATTGTGGGAGTTGAAGCCCAAAACACCTAGAGGGCCAAAGTTTGTCCAAGTCTGAGTTAGATGCTTAGAGTGCAACTTATAGTGCAAATGTTTAGACCTTGTTGTTGCCTTATGCCATCAAATCACTTTTGACCTATGATGAAGCTAAGGAGATTTGGATTGCTATCCAAGTATTTGGATGGCTATCCAGCTAGTAAAAGCCGTTCAGCTGTGGAACATGCTGCCTCGGATAATGACCTCTCTTTTTGTGGGTGATTTTTAGACATAGATCAGGATGTGTCTATACTGTAGAACTGATACAGTTTGACCCCACTTTAGGTGCCATAACTCAATGTTATGGAATCAGGGAAGCTGTTGTTTCAGCTTTCGCAGAGAAGGCTAAAGATCTTGTGAAACAACAGCTCCCACAATTCCATAGCATTGAACCAGTGAAGCCAAATTACATTATTTCTACGATGTAGTAGATGCACCCTGGGTGGTCATTGGTTGACCATGGATTTTCTGCACCAGGAGGAGCTTGAGCTACATGGGATCCCTTAATTTCAAACGATTTCCAGCTTCTAGTGACGCTAAGACAGGCTTGGGCAAACTTGGGCCCTCCAGGTGTTTTGGACTTCAACTCCCACAATTCCTAACAGCCGGCTGTTAGGAATGGTGGGAGTTGGAGTCCAAAACACCTGGAGGGCCCAAGTTTGCCTATGTCTGCTCTAAAACATGAGCAAGCTTTGCTCAAAGGGGGCTTGCCTTCACCTTCCTTCTGTGGTAGAGAAGACATTGAATCCTGGTCTCTAGAGTTATAGTCCAATGCTCAAGTAATCACAGGTGTCATTCCAGTACATGAAATGACGTACATTCATCGTATTTGTCCAAGAGCTGGTCCTTACGTAGCCTGAAATCACTTTTCCTTTTCTTCCACCTACTTGCCCTTTTCCCTGACTCACAGTTCATTATAGGAGAAGACGGCTCCTGTGGGGTGCTTTATGAGCAAGCCGTTGCCGAGGGGCCCCCGATTGCCACAATCATCGACCATGTCCTTGATTACTGGTAAGGTCCCCTGGGATAGGAAAGCATTAGACATGCTCTACTCAGGTGTGATTCATGGCTGCGTGGGCAGGACTTCCTATTTTGCTTTGTGCAGAGGCTGAACTTAGAAAACGAGAAGCATAAGGATTCTGTTTTGAGGGTGGCACCTGCTCAAGGTCAGTTAAGTATGTATGTATATATATATGTGTGTGTTATATATGATATAGATACATACATATATATATATATATATATAATCTCAGGAAGTGTCGCTTGTTCATATATGGTAAAGCAAAAGTTTTGTTTTCATTCTAGAGCAGTGATGGACATCTTCAGACTGGGTCAATTATATGGGGAGGACCACATGTTGCCCACTAGCTGGAGCAATGGGTTAAACCTTTATGCCTCTGAACTGCTGACCTGAAGGTTGGCAGTTCAGAAACGTGGGACGGGGTGAGCTCCCACTGTTAGCTCTAGCTCCTGCCAACTAAGCAGTTCGAAAACAGGCAAATTTGAATAGATAAATAAGTACTGCTTCAATGGGAAAGGCATAAGATGCTCCAAGCAGTCATGCCAACCCCATTTCCAGGGAGGTGACAATACAGGCTCCTCGGCTTGGAAATGGAGAACTGCACCTCCCCCAGAGCCAGAGATGAGCATCGCCTCCAAAGCTGGAAATGAAAGGAGCAGCCTTTGCCGTTGTTTGTGTTTTGTGTGTCTCAGTGTATTGTTTTGTTTGGTTTTTTTTGTCATGTCAGGAGCGACTTGAAAAACTGCAAGTCGCTTCTGGTGTGAGATATTTAGCAGTCTGCAAGGACGTTGCCCAGGGGACGCCCGGATGAATTGATATTTTTATCATCCTTGTGGGAGGCTTCTCTCATGTCCCCGTATGAGGAGCTGGAGCTGATAGAGGGAGCTCATCCGCCTCTCCCTGGATTCGAACCTGTGATGTGTGGGTCTTCAGTCCTGCCGGCAAAGGGGTTTAACCCACTGCGCCACCGGGGGCTCCAGTGTATTGTAACAAGGCATTGAATGTTTGCCAGTATCTGTTTATAGTGTAATCTGCTCTGAGACCCCACAGGGAGAAGGGCGGAATATAATAAAGTGTGTTGTTGTTGTTGTTGTTATTATTATTATTAATAGTAGTGTTATTATTATATCAGGCAAAGGATTTTCAGAGGTGGTTTTGCCCCTTCCTTCCTCTGAAATACGAGTACCTGGTATTCATTGGCGGACTCCTATCTAACAATATTTGATACGTTTTCTATTCCCTGTTTTGAACGTGTTATTTCTTGCTTGATTGTGCTGAACTTACTTTGAAAGTACAGTGTTCCCTCACTTATTGTGGGGGTTCCGTTCCAGGACTACCCCGCGATAAATGAAAATCCACGAGGTAGGGATGTCATATTAATTTTAATATTTATACATTATTTTTATATATTACTAGCTGTCCCCTGCCACACATTGCTGTGGCCCAGTCTGGTGATCTGGAAAATAAAGTAATTAGAAAGTGTTGGTTTCTAATATATGTAATTCCTTTATGCTTGTGAGTAAACAGTATTTCTTGTTGTTTCTTTGTCAGTGTTGATGTGGAGAGTGTCTGGTTTGCCTACTCTGGAATATGCAACATATCATAGTCCTTCTTTAAGGGTCTCTTTCAAATCAAAGATACTATATCTGTGTGTGTAAGAGAGAATCATATCTATCTATCTATATTTATGATTGGATGGCTCTTTGTCAAGAGGGCTCTGATTACATTTTCTTGCCCTGGTGAAGAGAGTTGGACTGGATGGCCTTAAGTATTTTCTGTTGGTCATGGGGGTTCTGTGTGGGAAGTTTGCCCCATTTCTGTCGTTTGTGGGTTTCAGAATGCTCTTTAATTGTAGTGAACTATAAATCCCAGTAACTACAAATCCCAAATGTCAAGGTCTATTTCCTCCAAACTCCATCTGTGTTCATATTTAGGCATATGGAATTTTTTGTCAAGTTTGGTCCAGATCCATCATTGTTTGAGTCCATAGTGCTCTCTGGATGTAGGTGAACTACAACTCCCAAACTCAAGGTCAATGCCCACCAAACCCTTCCAGTATTTTCTGTTGGTCATGGAAGTTCTGTGTGCCAAGTTTGGTTCAATTCCATCATTGGTGGAGTTCAGAATGCTCTTTGATTGTAGGTGAACTATAAATCCCAGCAACAACAATTCCCAAATGACAAAATCAATTTTTTTTGAGTGGAGGACATAAATTGGACTGTTAGGTGTCTTGTGTACAAATTTGGTGTCAATTCCACCAGTGGTTTTTGAGTTCTGATGTTAGCACAAACAAACATTACATTTTTATTTATATAGATATATTATTTTCTTACCTGTGCTTCCTTACCCGCTTCCCAACCCATCTCAAGGGTGCCTGCCTGCCTCCCTGGCCTCTGTAGACCCCAACAGAGCCTTCGGAGCCATGCAGACGGCAGCAGGCCAGGGAGGCAGGCCTTCCCCGCTGCACCTCAGGCCGCCGCACTTCTGAGGTTCCTGGCTTCCACTGGACGTAAATATTTTATTTATTTATTTATTTACTTACTACATTTATATACCACCCCTCTCAGCCCAAGGGTGACTCGGAACGGTTAACAATAGGCAACAATTTGATGCCGGTATGGTTACAACAAATTAAAACAATGATAAATACTTTAAAATACTCACAGTAATATAAAAACATAAAAATCATACAAGCATTTAAAAACATTATATATATATTTATTAATATTTTTAAAACCCACGAAACAGTGAGTTTGCTAAAAGCGAATCGCAAAGTAGTGAGGGAACACTGGAGTTGTTAAAATCAAGAAACTTTGCTTTTGTGCCTGCCACAAACTATGTTGAATTGGTTAAGACCCAACTGTAGCAAAATGTGCTGCAGGATGTCCTGCAAAAACAAAGTATTTGCAGTTTTATAAACTTTTCCCATGTTTTTATGATAGGACCAATTTTTCTGTTCGTGTCAGGAGCGACTTGAGAAACCGCAAGTCGCTTCTGGTGTGAGAGAATTGGGTATTGCCCAGGGGATGCCTAGATGTTTTGTTGTTTTACCATCCTTATGGGAAGCTTCTCTCATGTCCCTGCATGGGGAGCTGGAGCTGACAGAGAGAGCTCATCCGCACTCTCTCTGGATTCAAACCTCAGTCTTCTGTCCTGCTGGCACAAGGATTTAACCTATTGCACCACCAGGGGTTTCAGGACCAATTAGGAAATGACATTTATAACCCAGGGACAAAAAATGTGTTAGGTGATGTTATTAATGAGGCCCGACTTAGCTTTCAAAATTGGCCAGGATCCGGGTTTAGGATAGCTTGGCTATTATTAGGCCTGTTCTTTCTTTTAAGTACAGTTTACTGTGCCTTTTTTAATTCTCCCATCCACTCCCTCCCTTCTCATTCCAGCAAAGATCCGGTCACTGTCCGCGCACCATTGATTCCCCTGCAATTGCCTAAGAAGCTCTACTTCTGCTTCACTCCAGAAATCAAACGTGATATTGAACATGCAAAACAGAATCTGGACATGTGAGTTTGTGACGCTTGGTCCAAGGGAGACTTTTTTATAAAGTGCATTAGAAAGGAAGGCAAGATCCAGCCAGGCTGAAGGACTGTGCTGTAGTTTCATAATTATCTGACATTTTTCAACTTTTGCCGCAGACTTGTCTTGCTCCTTGGCCTTAAGTCATCTCACAGCAGCGATTGTCAGTTTTCAGGGAAGGATTAGTCACCTCTTCAGACCTGAGGGAAATTGAGAACACAGGAGGCCAAGCTGCCAAGGGAAGAGGAGATGGAAATGTTCTCTGATGGAGTATAGTTGTCATCCGAATGCGAGGCCTGACCTTAGAGTGTGGGCACAAAACATAAGACTGCCATGGATACTTACAAGTCCATAAGACAGTCCTAACTATGGAACATGCTCATGCAACAACTCCATTTCTAACCCAACATGAACAGATGTTATTTATTTATTTACTGTATTTGGATACCGCCTTTTGGCGACTCAGGGTAGTTTACAAGCAACAAGTAATATACATAATATCAAAATGCACATAAAAACATTAAATACAATACAAAACCACAACAGAATTAATAAGCAACAGCCAGGATGTTTTTAAAGTCTCTTCCTCAGTCCCCTTTTTCCTCTTAGCTGGCTTGAGGGCGCAGGAGAGAAGCAGCAGGATTTCCTCTTTCTCCTCCTGAGGTGGCAGGAAGATGTAGTAAGCAACAGCCAGGAGACAGGTGTTTTTAAAGTCTCTTCCTCAGTCCCCTTCCTCCTCTTAGCTGGCTTGGGAGGGGAAGAGTAGCAGCAGGATTTCTTCCTTCTCCTCCTGAGATGGCAGGCAAATGTAGTAAGCAACAGCCAAGAGACAGGTGTTTTTAAAGTCTCTTCCTCAGTCCCCTTCCTCCTCTCAGCTGGCTTGGAAGGGGGAGAGTAGCAGCAGGATTTCCTCCTTCTCCTCCTGAGGTGGCAGGCAGATGTAGTATTATTGCTGGGGGGAGGGGCTCCCAGCCAATGACCCAGGAGACATGGTGGAAATCTGTCTTCCTGGCTCCCCCTCTTCACTCTGGCTTCAGAGTGTCGGTGCTGGAGGGAGGGGCACCCAAACAGTGATGCAGGAGACATGGTGGAAACCTGTCTTCCTGGCTGCCCCTCTTCCGTCTGGCTTCAGAGTGAAGAGGCTGTTAGGAATTGTGGGTGTTGAGATCCAAAACACCTGGAGGACCAAAGTTTGCCTGCTCCTGCATTAAGCAAATCTGCTAATGTGGAAGGTCCACTGTACTTTGATCAAACAGCAAAGGTCCCAGAAGGATTCTAGTGACTACCATATTCTTCCACATCCTGACATCTAAGATGGCCTCAGAAGAGAGCAGAGTAATGAATGGGAAAATATTTTAAAATACATTTCAAAATTGGAGAGCAAGAGGATGTAGTGGCAGGGATACAGTGGAGGTCGGTGCAGCCCCCAATCCGTAGCACATGCCCCACCTCAGGGACAGAAAGATAAGAAATTTATTTATTATAAAACTTTATTTATATACCGCTCCATCTCCCCGAGGGAACCAGGTAACATCACAAAACATACAAAGTAAAAAACAACATAACCATAAGATTAACAAGACAAAATATAAGCATAAAAATTGTCGCCATAACACATATATTAAAAGTTTACTATATTTCTATGCCTCCATTCCCAGCCCGGGGGCCACTCATGGCGGTTTACAGAGAGGCACAATTCGATGCCCATAAAAATATAAAAATAGCTAAAAAATAGATTAAAGTTTACTCCATAATAACATCAATAAAAACATCATAAAGCAATAAATCCTCTGCATTTTATTACCAGTCACGTTGTCCAGCCATTTCGAGATCAGAGTTTATCTGCTACACTGCGTTTGGGATAGTCTGCTCAAATAGCCAGGTTTTGACTCTTTTACGAAACATTAAGAGAGTGGGGGCCAATCTAATGTCCCGGGGGGGGGCATTCCACAGCCGAGGGGCCACCACTGAGAAGGCCCTGTCTCTCATCCCTGCCAGCCAAACCTGTGGAGGTAGCAGGGCCTCCCCAGAAGGTCTTAAATTCCTAGATGTTTCATAAGGAGAGATACATTCAGACAGATAGGCAGGGCCGGAACTGTTTAGGGCTTTATAGGCTAAAGCCAGCACTTTGAATTGTGCTCGGTAGCAGATTGGCAGCCAGTGGAGCTGGCTCAACAGAGTTGACCTTTTGACATGCTTATAGTGAGCTGACTGAATTTTATTACCAGTAGTTATTTTTCTGTCTCTTTGCTCAGCCTCATTACTGACCTGGATATCAGCTGTTTCACTTACCGCGGATTTGGCAAGGAACTTCTCAAACGTAATCAACTGAGTCCAGATTCGGTCCTACAGGTGGCGCTGCAGTTGGCCTACTACAGGTGAGATGATAACCCAGTGGATGGCATCAGCCTTTAAGGGCATCTGTGTGAAGGTGGTTGTCTACATTGATCCCTCCATATTCACTGGCTTTAGGGGCACAGGACCCTTCTCTATATAAATAAAAATATAATGTTTGTTTGTGGGATTAACATAACTCAAAAACCACTGGGTGAATTGACACCAAATTTGACACAACACACCTAACAGCACTTCACACTCTGCTTGCTATGAGCTCAATGCTCAACTATAAGTATCCTGTTTGTATTTTGGATGCTCTGCTATTTTATGGTAGTTTTCCTTAACAAAGGAAAGTGGGGAGAGAGAATAACCAGCGAAAAAGGGAGAAATGGTTTTCCTGCTTCAACTCCCCCTACCCCCAATAAAAATGTAAAATAGACTAGCTTTCTTTCTCTTAACATCCCCTTGTGGCCTCTGCCTGGATAATGGAACAGTACCATTTCTTATCTATTTCACATAGAGGTGCACCAAAACAACAATTTTTGTTAGCTGAATAAACGCCTCCTTCGCAATCTCTAGGCCAATGTTTCTCAACCTGGGGGTTGGGACCCCTTTGGTGGGGGTCATAAGGGAGTCCCAAAGGGGTCGCCAAAGACCATCAGAACACAGTATTTTCTGTTGGTCATGGGGATTCTGTGTGGGAAGTTGGTGGGGTTGGTGGAGTCAGAATGCTCTTTGGTTGTAGGTGAACTATAAATCCCAGCAACTACAACTCGCAAATGTCAAAGTCTATTTTCCCCAAACTCCACCAGTGTTGACATTTGAGTATATTGAGGATTCATGCCAAGTTTGGTCCAGATCCATCATTGTTTGAGTCTACAGTGCTCTCTGGGTATAGGTGAACTACAACTCCAAAATTCAAGGTCAATGCCCACCATACCCTTCCACCATTTTCTGTTGGTCATGGGGGTTAGGTTCAATTCCATCGTTGGTGGAGTTCAGAATGCTCTTTGATTGTAGGTGAACTATAAATCCCAGCAACTACAACTCCCAGATGACAAACTCAATCTCCCCAGCCCCATCAGTATCCTATGAAACTCATGGGGTCACCATAATGTCAAGAGCTGTCTAGTAGGGACACACATACCCATCAGTATTTAAATTTGGTCATATTGGGTATTTGTGCCAAATTTGGTCCGGTGAATGAAAATACATCCTGCATATCAGATATTTACATTATGATTCATAACGGTAGCAAAATTATAGTTATGAAGTAGCAATGAAAACAGTGTTATAGTTGGGGGTCACCACAACACGAGGAACTGTATTAAGGGGTCACAGCATTGGGAAGGTTGAGAAACACTGACCTAGAGACTCCGAGAGACAGTATTGAATCGAATCTTTGAATAAACAGATTTGCAGGTGTGAAGGGACAACTCTTATGCCTGAAATGCTTAAATAGCCTAAAGGCACCAGATCCAATCTGAACTTGGAAGTTAAGCAGGGTCTGGTTTGTTTAGTACTTGGATGGGAGACCATCAATGAATATCGTGTGATGTAGACTATATTTCAGAAGAAGGAACTGGCAGAACTGCCTAAGAAAATCCTATGAAACTCATGGGGTCATCATAATAAGTCAAGAGATGTCTTGTAGACACACACATACCCCTCTTATAATGCCATATGGTAGAGCTAGTATCTATAAATGATTAGCTGATAGTAGTTCTTGTTTTTGGAGTTTAGCTCAGTTGCAGATCAATAAGTACCTGGTTCAACTCCAGTTACCTCTCTTTTTAGAAGAATGTAGTTGGATGTTCAGTCCTATTCTGCTTGAAGGCTCGTGGTAGGTAACCTACAGGAGGGCCTCATGAAAAATGACGTCAGAGTAAACCTTTTCACTCCATAGGCATGGGATGTACCCAACATTCTTAACTAATTATGGTGGAAAGATTTCCCTGTGGGAATAGTGTTGGAAACATTGCTCATAAATATATGGGAGAGAACCAAGAGGCAAAACCAGTGTGCATAATTAGACTTTGGGTGATCCTGGTGTATGTGCTGGGGGTATAGCTCAGCGGTAGAGCATTTGACTGCAGATCAAGAGGTCCCTGGTTCAACTCCGGGTGCCCCCTCTTTTTAAACAGGAGTTTGGTTGGCCTTTTTAGTCCCACTTTTGCCAAAGACCTCTCATGGGTGACATGTCCATGTTTAGACCCTGGATCTCTCAATAACAAATCCAGAATAGCAAGGCTAGAAGTCCTTCTTCCTGCCTGAGACTTTGGAAGATTACTGCCTTTAAGAGTAGGCAGTACTTAGATGGAAAAAGTGGTATGATCTGGAACAAGGCAGCTTCATCTATTTGTTGGTTTTTACAGGATTTGACAGTTGTACTCCCCAAAACTAAATTTTACTACACTACCTCTAGAAGGATATGATCTCTGAAGTCTCTTTGGTTAGAATCATAGAATCAAAGAGTTGGAAGAGACCTCATGGGCCATCCAGTCCAACCCCCGGCCAAGAAGCAGGAATATTGCATTCAAATCACCCCTGACAGATGGCCATCCAGCCTATAGAATCATAGAATCAAAGAGTTGGAAGAGACCTCATGGGCCATCCAGTCCAACCCCCTGCCAAGAAGCAGGAATATTGCATTCAAATCACCCTGACAGATGGCCATCCAGCCCATAGAATCATAGAATCAAAGAGTTGGAAGAGATCTCATGGGCCATCCAGTCCAACCCCCTGCCAAGAAGCAGGAATATTGCATTCAAATCACCCCTGACAGATGGCCATCCAGCCTCATAGAATCATAGAATCAAAGAGTTGGAAGAGACCTCATGGAGCATCCAGTCCAACCCCCTGCCAAGAAGCAGGAATATTGCATTCAAATCACCCCTGACAGATGGCCATCCAGCCTCATAGAATCATAGAATCAAAGAGTTGGAAGAGACCTCATGGAGCATCCAGTCCAACCCCCTGCCAAGAAGCAGGAATATTGCATTCAAATCACCCCTGACAGATGGCCATCCAGCCTCATAGAATCATAGAATCAAAGAGTTGGAAGAGACCTCCTGGGCCATCATTCAGTCCAACCCCATTCTGCCAAGAAGCAGGAATATTGCATTCAAATCCCCCCTGACAGATGGCCATCCAGCCTCATAGAATCATAGAATCAAAGAGTTGGAAGAGACCTCCTGGGCCATCCAGTCCAACCCCATTCTGCCAAGAAGCAGGAATATTGCATTCAAATCACCCCTGACAGATGGCCATCCAGCCTCATAGAATCATAGAATCAAAGAGTTGGAAGAGACCTCATGGAGCATCCAGTCCAACCCCCTGCCAAGAAGCAGGAATATTGCATTCAAATCACCCCTGACAGATGGCCATCCAGCCTCATAGAATCATAGAATCAAAGAGTTGGAAGAGACCTCATGGAGCATCCAGTCCAACCCCCTGCCAAGAAGCAGGAATATTGCATTCAAATCACCCTGACAGATGGCCATCCAGCCTCATAGAATCATAGAATCAAAGAGTTGGAAGAGACCTCATGGACCATCCAGTCCAACCCCCTGCCAAGAAGCAGGAATATTGCATTCAAATCACACCTGACAGATGGCCATCCAGCCTCATAGAATCATAGAATCAAAGAGTTGGAAGAGACCTCATGGGCCATCCAGTCCAACCCCCTGCCAAGAAGCAGGAATATTGCATTCAAATCACCCCTGACAGATGGCCATCTAGCCTCTGTTTAAAAGCTTCCAAAGAAGTAGCCTCCGCCACACTCCGGGGCAGAGAGTTCCACTGCTGAATGGCTCTCACAGTCAAGAAGTTCTTAAATCTTTAGTATTAAGAAGAGAACAACTTCTTAGTGGGACTGGATGCACCTTGTAAAAAGGCTTAGTCAATTAACAGAGTGAACCCAAAAAACTTCTGGCAGGACCACCAGCAACTACAACTCCCAAATGTCAAAGTCTATTTTCCCCAAACTCCACCAGTGTTCACATTTGGGCATATTGATACCAAGTTTGGTCTAGATCCATCATTGTTTGAATCTACAGTGCTCTCTGGATGTAGGTGAACTACAACTCCAAAACTCAAGGTCAATGCCCACTAAACCCCATTTGAAGTATTTTCTGTTGGTCATGGGAGTTCTATGTGCCAAGTTTGGTTCAATTTCATTGTTGGTGGAGATCAGAATGCTCTTTGATTGTAGGTGAACTATAAATCCCAGCAACTACAACTCCCAAATGACAAAATCAATCCCTCCCCAACCCCACCAGTATTCAAATTTGAACGTATTGGGTATTTGTCCCAAAGTTGCTCCAATTAATAAAAATACATCCTGCAGATTGGATATTTACATTATGATTCATAGCAGTAGCAAAATTACAGTTATGAAGTAGCAACGAAAATAATGTTATGGTTGTTAGTCACCACAACATGAGGAACTGTATTAAGGGGTTGCAGCATTAGCAAGGTTGAGAACCACTGCTCTAGGCCCTCCAGCGCAAGTCTGTGTACAGCTTATGCCAGAAGTTAACCTACAGAAATCAATCCTCCTGCACAATTTATGGGAGAAGTCCTAACTTGGCTCAGGGATGTAGGTTATGTGTATGCTTAGCATTGTGCAGGGAAGGCTGTATATTGGTGCATTCATTTGTATATACTTAATATTTCTTAGGGCACATGGGGAGCTGTGTGCTACCACTGAGTCAGCCTCTCTCCGCCGCTTCCACCGAGGCCGCACAGAAACCATCCGTTCCACTACCTCAGCTGCGTTGGCCTTTGTCCAGAGCATGTCTGATGACAACTGTCAGGTATTTAAATATCCCACAATTTCCTGTCTTTATGTTGTTGAGTTGAACTGAAATATTAATGCTGGGACATGAAGCCAGAATGAGCCTTGAAGCTAAGGAGAAAGGCAAATAGACCAAGGCCAAAGCTGTAGCGTGGCTTTCAGTCCAACCTACTCACAGCACTGGTTGAGATAAAGTTTATTCCAAGCGTCAATACTTTACTACCTCTGAGGATGCTTGCCATAGATGCAGGCGAAACATCAGGAGAAATGCCTCTAGAACATGGCCATATAGCCCAAAAAAACCTACAACAACCCAACTTCAGAGTTGCAAAGACAAAGTGTGCATGAGCAATAACCAACGCAGAGGTGGTAATCCTTATCTGAGGTCTATGCACAAAATGCAACTAGAGCTTCTTTGTTAAAGGGATCTTCTCAGAGACTGTAACTACAATATCTAGTTGTTGGCCCTACATATTGTAGTTTCAGCATTCAAGGCCAGAGCACAGCAAACAATACAGACCATGGGTAGATGTCAGTTATTATCAAAATGTTCCAAATCCTTAATTGCTATTTGATGCCAACAATAGGTACCAAAAGTACAGCCTCGTGGGTGAGCTGTTGCAGCAATTATTGTTATGAGCTGTAGTTGAAGACTGTGCCACAACACACCTTCCCTTACTAGTGGGTAAAATGAGGCAGCCTCCTCAGGTAATAAATGTTAAGGAGCAGGGAATGATGCCAAAGAGTTAGAGAGCATAGCTAGTTATAGTCTACCCTACCCATTTACTGCGTTAAGTATGTAAGACTTCTGTAAATAAAGGTAAAGGTTTCCCTTTGACATTAAGTCTCGATTACATTAAGTCTAGTTTCCATTCCTAAGCCGAAGAGCTGGCGTTGTCCATAGACACCTACAAAGTCATGCGGCCAGCATGACTGCATGGAGTGTCATTACCTTTCCGCCTATTGATCTACTCACATTTGCATGTTTTGAACTGCTAGGTTGGAGAAGGCCCTGTCTCTTGTCCCCACCAGTTGCGCTTGCGAAGGGGGTGGGACTGAGAGCAGGACCTCCTCAGCAGGTCTTAAGGCTCTAGTTGGCTCACAAGGGGAGATGTGTTTGGACAGGTAAGTTGGACCAGAGCCGTTTATTTATTTATTTACAGTATTTATGTTCCGCCCTTCTCACCCCGCAGGGGACTCAGGGCGGATCACAATGCACATATACATGGCAGACATTCAGTTACCACCGCCGCTAAGAAAGGCGCGCGCAGCATGAGAGAGAAGGGGGAAAGGTGCTGGACTCATCACTGAGCCTGGAACCCCAGGTCTCGGCGGTGGCCTGGTGAGCTTTTGAACAACTAAAACTTGTGCACCAGCTGCGCCCATTCCTTGGGAAGTCTGACTTGGCCATGGTGGTCCACACTCTGGTTACATCCCGAATAGATTACTGCAATGCTCTCTACATGGGGCTGAAAACTTCTCGGAAGCTCCAATTAGTCCAATGGTCGGCAGCCATGCTGTTAACTGGAGCAGCATACACGGAGTGCACTACTTCACTGTTGTGCCAGCTCCACTGGCTGCCGACCAGCTTCCGAGCACAATTCAAAGTGCTGGTTTTAATCTTTAAAGCCCTGAGTGATTCTGGCCCAGATTACCTGTCCGAACGTGTCCCCTACTATGAACCATCACAAAGCTTAAGATAATCAGGAGAGGCCCTGCTCTCAATCCCACCACTTTCGCAAACATGGTTGGTGGGGACAAGAGACAGGGCCTTCTCGGCAGTGGCCCCCCGTCTGTGGAACTCCCTCCCTAAGGACATGGCTCTGGAACCAGGCTTTCGATTAGGAAAAGAAATTTTGGACATTGCGACACTGGATTTTCCTGGCTGGCTTTGGTTTTATTGGCACATTAATTTATTGTTAAATGAATTTATTTGTTGAATTTGTATAATGTTTTAAATGGATTTTGCTGTTTTAATTTAATTAATGTGGTGTATGTGTTGATAGCATCATTGGATGCTTATGTAAGGCTGCCCTGAGTCCCCTTGTTGGGAGAAGGGCAGGATAGAAATGGATGTAATAAATAATAAATAAATAATTATGGACAAGAATTCCTCCTCTAAACTGAGAGTTTTTGATGTATACAGTAAGTCCAATCACCTCTAACCAAAATAATAAATGTGTTTGGGAATTCTAATCCATAAACATCTGGAGAGCCAGAGGCTGCCTAAACTTGGATTGTCCATGTTCACCCCTAAGACTTCTCTGAGCATCTTAATAGTGTGCTGCATGTTCATTTGAGGGTGCCTGTGCCCCCCCCCCCAAATGGTTTACAATGTCTCCTGGACATCTGTCATCTGTTTCCACCTTCTCTCCATGCCAGGCCCCAGAAAGATTATCTCTGCTGAAAAAAGCCGCCGAAGTCCACAGCACCCTCACAGAGCAGGTAATTACTTTCCCATAAGAAAGCATTTCAGTAATTGAAAAAGTGAATGAATGTGGGAGGTAGGATGCTGTGATTGTCAAAGAGCTTGGGATGACGTTTAGGAGAGCTTGCATCATTCTGAAGAAATTGAATCAGGAATTTTGCCCAGTCACTAAATGAAGTCAACGTTGGAGATTTCCTTAGTGTTCTAATTGGGAATGGGTGTAGTTTGATTGTTCATTCCTGCACAGCAGGGGTTGGACTTGGATGGCCTTTGTGTCACTTCTATCTCTATGAGTCTTTGAATGTCTGTTGGAGAATTGAAAAAGTATCTGGCTTTTATAGTATATATATATATATTGACAGTGAAATAGCCTGCTTTCAAACATTGTGGTCTCTTTCTCTTTGGAAGTCTTTAAACAGAGGTTGAATTAGCATTTTCCAGGAACGCTTTAGTCTAACATTCATTTTTACATTTGGTTCAGGAAAGAGGGATGTTTTGGATACAGTTGGATAAAGTTATGACAATGTGTTGTTGAACACTTCCATGGCTGGAATCACTGGGTTGCTGTGAGTTTTCTGGGCTGTATGGCCATGTTCCAGAAGCATTCTCACCTGACATTTTGCCCACATCTATGACATCCTCAGAGGTTGAGGGGTCTATTGGAAACTAGGCAAGTGAGGCTTATGTATTTGTGAAAGTGCAGGATTGGAAAAACAACTTTTGTCTGTTGGAAGCAAGTGTGAACATTGGAGTTGGCCAGCTTGATTAGCATTGAATGGCCTGGCAGCTTCAAACCTGGCTGCTTCCTGCCCGGGGGAATCCCTTGTTGAGAGGTGTTAGCTGATCCTGATTGTTTCTTTTCTGGAATTCCCCTGTTTTCTGAGTGTTGTTCTTTCTTTCCTGTCCTGATTTTAGATTTTTTTAAAATACTGGTAGCCAGATTTTGTTCAGTTTCATGGTTTTCTCCTTTCTGTTGAAATGGTCCACATGCTTATGGATTTCAATGGCTTCTCTGTGAAGTCTGGCATAGTGGTTGTGAGGGTGGTCCAGCATTTCTGTGTTCTCAAATAATATGCTGTGTTGGTTCATTGGGTGCTCTGCTATGGTTGACTTTTCTGGTTGAAGTAGTCTGGAGTGCCTTTCCTGTCCCTTGATTCGTGTTTGGGCAATGCTGCTGCATTTGGTGGTCCCTATATAGACTTGTCCACAGCTGCATGGTATACAGTAGACTTCTGCAGAAGTGAGAGGATCCCACTTGTCCTTTGCTGAACATAGCATTTGTTGGATTTTCTTAGTGGGTCTGTAGATAGTGTGTATGTTGTGTTTCTCCATCAGCTTCCCTATGCAGTCAGTGGTTTCCTTGATATATGGAAAGAACACTTTATCCTCTGGGTGGATCTTGGTCTTGACTTGTTCTTGATCTTGCAACTCTTCTGATGTTTGTGGTGGAGTCTCCATTGGCCTGTAGAGCCCAGTTTAGGTGGTTCCATTCACCTTGAAGGAGGTGGGGTGCGCAGATTCTTGAACCACCTAAACTGCATATTAATTTTGCATCACAACAATAATCTTTGGCATCTGTAGACATGCATGTTCTTTGTAATTGTATCCACGTGTTGTGGAATTTAACTCAAGATCAAATCACTTGGATACTGTAACTGTGACTAAAAGATGTATTGTACTCCCAAGGTTGGAAAGATAAAACATTGGCCATCGATCATTCAGGCAAGCTTACTGCTTTAATTGTGCATAGAGGTGTATTTCATAAAGATTACTGTCAAGATGAAGTGTTTTAGAAATATGGTTTGCTTCCAGCGACACCTCCACAGCACTTCAATTCCATGTATTGTCGAAGGCTTTCATGGCCGGAATCACTGGGTTGCTGTGTGTTTTCCAGGCTGTTTGGCCATGTTCCAGAAGCATTCTCTCCTGATGTTTTGCCTGCATCTATGGAAGGTATCCTCAGAGGTTGTGAGACCTCACAACCTGTGAGGATGCCCGCCATAGATGCAGGTGAAACGTCAGGAGAGAATGCTTCTGGAACATGGCCAAACAGCCTGGAAAACACACAGCAACCCAGTGACCTCACAACCTCTGAGGATGTCTGCTGTAGATGCAGGCAAAACGTCAGGAGAGAATGCTTCTGGAACATGGCCATACAGCCCAGAAAACACACAACAACCCACTTCAATTCCACTTTAACTGCTATAGCTAAATGCTTTGGAATTTGGGAATTTGCAGATTGGAGATCTGCAGATTAGGGAGGATCCAAACTAGAAACCCCACGATTCCATAGGATGCAGCCAAAGTAGAATCACAGCCCTTTAAAGACAATGCCCATCAGCCTAGCCAGCATAAAAAGTGGTTATAGATTTGTGGAGTTACAGTCAAGAGGTTAGGAATTAATCTCCTTTTATCCAATCTGTTCCAGGCTCTGGATGGGCAAGGCATTGACCGCCATATGCTGGGACTCAAACTCGAGGCTATTGCTGATGGCTTCCGGGTGCCAGAGCTTTTTATGGACACTTCCTATGCTGTAGCCTCATATTGGAAACTCTCCACAGGACAGGTATGAGCCATCAGATCCTTCATGCGCTTTTCGGGACCAGGTTGTATTTTTGTAGCAACTTATAGGCTTAATGGGCCAATGTGCTCAAAATATTTTGCTTTTTTTTTTTGGTACTATCAACCACAAAACATTGTTTTAATTTATTTTTGAGCCAAACCAAAAACAAGGTTCAGAAAGTTGCCAGAAATAGCTCAAGACCACATGAAGTGTGTCGGTTTTGCTTTTTCTCCATCCAGGTTCTGCTCCCAGCCCTCAAAAAGCTGAAAAAAATGATGAAAATATAGGAAGCAAACACTTGAAATAGGCTTTCCAAAAGCTTTGGGATCAAAGTTGTTGGGAATCGGAGCTATTAGGCTCGAAATAACCCTTACTTGGGGTGTATCCACCATAAATATAGCAGAGTACTATAAGCAAACTTCATGACCAGCAGAAGCTTACATGTCGTGATCCGGGATAAGCTTCCATTCGACAGTAAGGTACAGGATTGCAGAGAAAGAACTTTAGGTTCAGAATATTTGTTCAAGAAAATAAATACATTCTAAATAGAAAAGGTCTTGGAGCTAACTAGCTTACTAAGCACATCCACTAAGGAAGGTAAAAAGATGAAATATCAAAAGTATCCATGCAGCTACATTTTGCCTGATGAAAGGCAAAATGCGTCCTTACTGGAAGGGAGACAAAGGCAAAGAGAGAGCAACAGAGAATGGCCAAAACCCAGGGCAATAAAAATACCTTTAAAGAGGAAGTTACCTCATCCCTCACAGAGATTCCATTGCTACATCTTCAAAGGAGGAAGGAGATAGCAGCAAGAAAGAAAAGTAAGACAAAGCCTCTTCTAGGAAAAGCATGCATAGGAATGTGGGAAAAGGAATGCCTCATTTTAATCCTATATCTAAGTCTAGATACTCATTAAGGACTGGAGACTTGTGCAGTCCAGAGATGAAACCCAACAAAAGTTGTGGGGGATTTTAAGTGGAAAATATAATGATTGCTACATGTGACATTGGGCGGAGCATAGCATGCGTGCATGCCAGCTTTGAATTTGTAAATTTTGGAGCAGGGTTTTATCAGTGCTGGTGCCATAATTGCAGAATGCTATTCTTTAGAGGCCTACGTGGTTATATTTTCAGGAAGTTCTTCCTGTTATTTAGGTAGAATCGCTCTTCCTGTCATTTGAATACATACTCTGTGTCCTAGTCTCTAAAGCAGCAGAAAATAAGCTTCCTGTTGCACTAGAGCCCTGAAACACCTTTTTAACACAAACCACACTCTGTCCAGGTAATTCAGTAAGTAGAAGTTTATTGAAAAAAGAGTATATATAAAAATAAGCAAATGCAAAAAAGAGAATCAAAGTTCAAAATCCTGAGAGTCAAAAATCCTTTCAAATACAGTCTCCAGAGTCAATCTGCAAATATATCCATAAACAAGATAGCAGGAATCCAAAGAAGGCAACCTATGCCATACATGAACTAGAAGCAAGAACAACTTAGAAATTTGTATACATGAATTGCAAGAACATAGGACCAACAAAGTTGCTCTCACAAAGGATTGTTCCAGCAGAAATAACTTTAAAAGGCCTCAATCCATCCCATAACATCATTTCTCACACACCTGCTTTCCCTCTCCTTATCTCTAATTCTCTGGGAAAAGCTAGTCTGTCTTTGTTGCATGCCCTATCTCCACAATTCCAAGCACCTTGACCTAGGCAAACCCACATCTCCCACATTTCTCTCAGCTTGCACTTCTGGCAGGTTCTCATGAGAACTGATATTTTCTCATGCAAACTGCCAAGAGATTCCAAAACAACTCTCTCCAGGCCACTTCTATCTTCCCACCATCCCCTTCCTCATCTTCTGAGCAAATCTGACCAGGCTACAACACTTCCCTCTTCTTAATGTTCATTGAAGTATTGAAATATGGCTGTCATGTGCCCTCTTCTCTACTCCAGGCTAGACATACCCAGCTTGCCAAGTTGTTCCTTATAGGGCTTGGCTTCTAGACCTTTGGTGACTAAAAAAGCCAAAGTAATCAGCATGCATCATTAGAGAAGATCAAGAGAAGTATCTATTCTGCTTTGGTCAGATCTCACCTGGAATAATACAGTGTCCAGTTCTGGGCACCACAATTCAAGATGTGTATTTACTTGCTGGAATATGTCTAGAGAAGGAGATCAAAATGATCAAAGGTGGAAGCCAAGCAGCTGAAGAGCTGGGTGTGTTTAGTCTGAAGGTTAAGAAAGGACATGACAGCCATGTTTAGAAGATTGAAAGATATCACATTGAGAAGGGAGCAACTTCTTCTCTGATGCTTTAGAGCCTAGAACACAATGGGGGCAACAGACTTAAATTTCAGGAAAAGAGATTCCACCTAATTTCCTGACAATAAGAGCTGTTTAGCAGTGGAATATGCTGCTCCCTGGGAGTGTTTTGCAGTCTTCTTCTCTGGAGGTGTTTAAACAGTAACTGGATGGCCATCTGTTGAGAAATATTTTCATTGTGTTGCTACTTAGCAGAAGGTTGGGCTGGATGGCCCTTGGGGTCTCTTCCAGTTCTATCCTTCTATGATTCTCTTTAGATGTTTCATGCTCTGTGGATCCCCATTTCTCTTTCTCTCAGGTGGCGGCCCGCACGGATTGCGTGATGTGCTATGGGCCCCTGGTGCCTGACGGCTATGCTGTCTGTTACAACCCACTCCCAGCTCACGTTAACTTTGCCGTCACTGCCTTCAACTGCTGCCAGGAGACCAATGCTGAGCGTCTGGCTGGAAACATCCAGAAGGCCCTGGATGATGTGGGGGTCCTGCTGGGGAACAACGAAGGAGGAAACAGTGAGAAACCATCGTGAGGATCACTCCATATCACCATTTCTGAACCTCAGGCCCAGCTGTGGCTTACAGAGTATATTCCTTTTCCTTCTGACTCTCTTTGTCATCTCTAAATTTGGTAGACCTCAGTCTCCAGATCTGCACACTCCTTTTGCTTTGTGCCAAAGCTTGTTACATGTCCTTCAGCCCGTCCTGATGACACTCCTTAACTACAACTCCCTTTGTAACATACTTAGGGAACTTTCAGGAAAACACTCCTCTCTTATTTTGATTTTTTTTACAGAGTCTTAATTCGAAACCAAATCTAATTTATTATGAGGTTGAACAAAGAAATAAAGGTTCTTGCAGGGAAAAAATTATCTTGGGTTGTGCATTTTTATAGTGAGTGAATAACAACATCCTGGTTGAGTGGAGAGTTTCAGACTGTGAGCCTAGAGCTCACCTACCTACAGACCACCTTGAACCAATCTCTCCCTCTCTCTCTTTCCACATCCATTCCCTTTATCTCCAAGTTGACACCATGGCTCCGTGCCCCACAGTTCTTAGGAGACCAGTGAGATAGGAAAATGTTAGTACCTGCCTTAGGACAGGTATCTAAACAAATTAATTTCACGATGCAACAAAGCTTTAACTCAGATTGTGAGGTTTTCCTGATTTGAAGTTTTTTAGTGGACACTTATTTTCTGGGGTTTGGTTCCAGGAATCTCCATGCATACCAAAGTCTGTGGGAGCTCAAGTCCCCTTTTTTGTGTCAGGAGTGACTTGAGAAACTTCAAGTTGCTTCTGGTGTGAGAAAATTGGCTGTCTGCAAGATCATTGTCCAGGGGATGCCTGGATGTTTTGATGTTTTGCCATCTTTTGTGGGAGGCTTCTCTCATGTCCCCGCTTGGGGAGCCGGAACTGACAGAGGGAGCTCATCCACACTCCTCAGATTCGAACTTGTGACCTTCAGTCCTGCCGGCACAAGTGTTTAACCCATTGTGCCACCGGAAGCTCCTTGCTCAAGTCCCATTATTTACAATGGCATAGTAAAATAGGTAAAGGTAAAGGTTGTCCCCTGACATTAAGTCCAGTCATGTCCGACTCTGGGGTGATGGTGTTCATCTGCATTTCTAAGCCGAAGAGCCAGCATTGTCCGTAGACACCTCTAAGGTCATGTGGCTAGCATGACTTCATGGAGTGCTGTTACCTTCCCGCCTGGAGCAGTACCTATTGATCTACTCACATTTGCATGTTTTCAAACTGCTAGGTTGGCAGAAGCTGGGACTAACAGCAGGAGCTCACACCGCTCCTCGAATTCGGACCTGCAATCTTTTGGTCAGCAAATTCAGCAGCTCAGCGCTTTAACCCACTGTGCCATTGGGGGCTCCTTGGCATAGTAAAATACGGTCTTTTATATCAAATGACAAAATTTATGGAGAAACTAAATAAAATCCTAAAGTGTAATGAGATTTCATCAAATATCAGTCAGAATTATCAATGTCATAAGTCAGGTTCCTCATCCCTTATTGAATATACTCCAGAATCCAACATTGAGTGCATCCTGCAAGTCGCTTCTGGTGTGAGAGAATCAGCCATTTACAAAAACATTGCCCAGGGGATACCTGGATGTGTTATGATGCTGTGGGGAGGCTTCTCTCATGCCCCCATGTGTTCCACACTGGACATGAATACGCACGCTCAGTGTATAACACATCTTGCCACATTAAAACAATGGATGTGGCTCTTAATGAGACATGCTGCATTATCACAGGATGTCTACACCCCACACCACTGGAGAGATTATACTGCAGGGAAATAGCAGCCATTAATGAAAGGACCAAAGCAGAAACATCTCTGCCCCATCCCCTGTTTGAATATCAGCCAGCACGCCAACATCTTAAATCAAGAAATAGCAGGAACACATCAGCAAGCGAGAGTCCAAAAGTGGCAGGTTAAAACCAGGAACCTCAATCTATGGCTGATACCAAATGAGAGACTTCCTCCTGGGCACACAGAAGACTGGGCAACATGGAAGGTGCTGAACAGACTGCTCTGGCACCATGAGATGCAGAGCCAACCTTAAGATATAGGACCACAAAGTGGAGTCCATAACATGCGAGTGTGGAGAAGAGCAAACCACAGACCACCTATTACAATGCATTCTGATCCTTGTCACATGCACAATGGAGGACCTTCTTATAATAACAATAGCACTCCAAGTGGCCAGATACTGGTCAAAAGACATTTAATATAACGCCTAGTTTTAAATTTTGTGTTTTTAAATACATTACAACTGCACCAGGCATGTAGCCGGGGGGGGGGGGGGGGGGGGGGGGGGGGGGGGGGGGGGGGGGGGTGGTGGGTGGGGGGGGGGGGGGGGGGGGGGGTGGAGGTGGGGGGTGGGGGGGGGGGGGGGGGGCTTGAGGGTCTTCACCCCCCCCCCCGAAATTCTCAAAACACAACAGAAATGGCTGAAGCCCCTCCGCCCCCCCCCCCCCCCGAAATTCTCATGGTGGTTCACGAGAAGGCCTTACTGGTGCATTATTTAAACTGTTATGTTTATTCATATCATGATCTGATCATCATACTCAATATATCACATATGCATGGGGGTATTATGGTAACGATACAAAAGGTTTGCTAGGGTAGACCCCCCCTCCCCCCGAATCAAAATTCTGGCTACGGGCCTGAACTGCACCTTCAAAATTCGCTAAATCCAAAATTATCCCCATAAGTGTCAGAGATTGTGACACCTTTGCTTTCCAGTGGTTCCATGTACACAAACATTGTTCCATTCACAATGTTATTAAAATAGTATATAAAATTCCCTGCAAGATATGTGTGTACTGTCTATATGACACATATATTAATTTCATGTTAGACTATGGTTCCATCTTCATGATATTTTATTGCATACATCTATGCAAATGCAGGTATTCTGAAATCCAAAACTATTTTGGTCTCAACCATTTTGGAGACCTGTTGAGACCAAAAAGGACATGAAGGCTGGACAGTGGCGATACCCAGGCAGGGATAAAAAAATCAACTATTTAAAATGTAGCACTTGAAAAGAGCTCTACGTACACTATGGAGCTTTAACAAGGCAATGCATGGGTCAAAGAACAAATAAAGCCTGAACTCTTCCTAGAAGCCAAAATGACTAAACTTAGAATATATCATGAGCTGATATGACTCATTGGAAAAGACAATAAAGCTCTGAAGATAACAGCAGGAGGAAAAGAGGAAGGTGGCACAACAGAAAGATTGAGTAAATCAAAGAGTGTTACTCAGAGATTGCTAAATCTTTTAAGACGTTAGGATCTCCGTATCCACAGATGTTACATCCATGAATTCCCTCATCCATAGCTTGAAAGATTTTTTTAAACAAAACTAAAGTAAACCATTTTAAATAAAGGATACCATTGTACTATGCCCTTATCTATAAAGGAACTTGGGCATCCATAGATTTTAGTATCCAAGTGGGTTCTAGAAACCAAGCACAAGCTAATATCCAGGGTTACTGTATGAAGAAAAAACCAAGATGATGGAAGCCAGACTGATTGACAACTGGCAAATAGAGGGGGGAAACATGGAGAAAGTGACATATTTTGTATTTCTAGGTGCAAAGATTATTGCAGACACAGACTGCAGCCAGGAAATCAGGAGACGCTTACTTCTTGGGAGGAGAGCAATGACCAATCTCAATAAAACAGTGAAGAGTAGAGACATCACTCTGGCAACAAAGGTCTGCATAGTTAAAACAGTGATATTCCCCCCGTAGTAATCTGTGGATGTAAGATCTGAACCATAAGGAAGGCTGAGCAAAGGAAGAGAGATACTTTTGAATTGTGACGTTGGAGGAAAATCCTGAGAGTGCCTTGGACTGCAAGACGATTAAACCAGTCCATACTCCATGATAGAAAGCCCGGCTGCTCACTGGAGGGGATAATATAATATAATAATAAAACTTTATTTATATACCGCTCTATCTCCCCTAGGAGACTCAGGGCAGTTTCCAAATAGCAAAACACCAACATACAGAGCATGCAAAACATAAGCATAGAATTATCAAAACAACACATTAAAAACCAATCCCATCCAATTCTTCGTTCAAAAATTACTGTTAGAGCAAGCATTCCAAAAATGGGCCTAGGTAAATTAAAAGGGCCAGATCGAGACTAGTGCAAAACGGGGTAGGTGCAAAAACCGGTCCCAACCATAGTAATAGTGGGGCCTGTGGCTGCTCAATTCCAGGGCCTATTGGGGGACTGTCCAGGAGATGGGGGTGCAAGGCCAGATTCAAATAGTGTCCAGGGGCTGAGCTGGCACTAATCATTCTCAAAGGCCTGGTGAAACCACCATGTCTTCAAGCTCTTACAAAAAGAGGAGAGGGATGGGGTCTGTCTTATTTCCCGTGGAAGGGCATTCTAGAGGTGGGGAGGAAGGATATTAGAGGCAAAGATTAAGTATTTGGCCACATAATGAGAAGACAGGAAAGCTTGGAGAAGATGATGATTCTGGGGAAAATGCAAGGAAAAAGGAAGAGGGGCCGGCCAAGGGCAAGATGGATGGATGGTATCCTTGAAATGACTGTCTTGACCTTGAAGGAGTTGGGGGTGACAACGGCCCGATAGGGAGCTCTGGCATGGGATGGTCCATGAGGTCACGAAGAGTCGGAAGTGACTGAATGAATAAACAACAACAAGCAAAACAACTGCATGAAGAACACTTGGAGGTCTCTTATTCATTGGGTGGACATTAGCAACCCAGTTGAGTTGAAGGTATTCCATAACGTCCATCTTCAGCACATAACAATAACAAAGCTGTAATACGTTGTATTTTCTTTGGATACCCAACTAAAAGAAGATCTTTGTAACAATGAGTCCCAAGGAATGAGGTTATAATGTGCATTCAGATTAGTACTGCCGGTGGCTGGCACTGAAGTGGAAACAAACACAATAGGATGGATATCAAAGGAAAATCTAAGAAGGCAGAGATGTATAGTTGTACAGTAGGATGAAAAAATAATGGCTATGGTTTCCCCTGGGATTTAGGTCTTTTATTGTTGTGAAACTTCACATGGTTTCTGACCTCAGGTGATCTTGTCACAGGGTTTTTCTAGCCAAACTTGTTCAAAGAGGGGTTTCTTTCAACTTCCTCTGAGCCTGAGAGTGACTTACCCAACATCGCCCAGTAGGTTCCCATGACTAAGCGAAGATTACACTACTGGTCTCCTGAGTAGTAGTCCAGTGCTGAAAACAGTAGCCTATGTGCATACAACATTGAATTGTGTACAGTTTCACAATAATCATGTTCTCCTAGGGCAGCGGTTCTCAACCTGGGGGTCGTGACCCCTCGAGGGGTCAATTGCCAA